CGTCCACACCGTTGGGGCCCCCTGGACCTGCTGGGGTTGGACCCCGGCAAGTGTGTACTAATAAAGTAGTGTGTACTAATAAACTAGTGTGTACTAATAAAAAAAAAAAGAAAATACATCCTGCATATCAAATATTTACATTACGATTTATAACAGTAGCAAAATTACAGTTATGCAGTAGCAACGAAAATAATTTTATGGTTAGGGGTCACCACAACATGAGGAACTGTATTAAAGGGTCTCGGCATTAGGAAGGTTGAGAACCACTGCTTTAGACACATTCTTTTCATAATACTACCTATACTTATGTATACTATACTTTCATTTGGCTCACCCTATCTTCCTACAAATAAACCCAATATCTAATAAGAAAACAAACAAAAAGTAGTTCTAACCCTGCTGTGGGCCAATCAAGTGCTCCGCTTAGCATAATTCACAAGTGCTAATTCAAGTTTTAGGAATTTTTCAGAAAACTCTGGAAAAATTATACCAGCAAGAAATTTCAGATGAAATACAGAGACTTTGTTGTATGACAGAATCCAGTCAAATTATTTTATCTTGCTGTGAGGGACTCATACTAGTAGTTCATCTCTTTCCTTAAAGAGAGAAAGAGATAAAGTTCCAGTGTTGTCTGCTTTAAAAGGAAAGTTAACCTTTCAAACCTTTGTAATTTGGAAGCATGGGTAGCAGCTATATATCCAGTAGGTAATGCCATTGATTCACACCATCACAAACTGTTCTGCACAATAATTTGTAAATGCTAACTGAATGAGCTAAGGTTCAGACCCTTAATGAAAGTCTTCCTCCCACAATATCAATGCATGTACCAAAGAGGTCAATACGGAATTTCCAATTTAAGAGAAAAAATGTTTCATGTAGAAGCAATGAACAAACAAGCTTCTTTGGTTGTCTGTATCATTGCACCTCATAACATGCTAACTCACGATTGTTTCACAGCAGAGGATAAGGTAGACTTCTGGTTAAATACTTACTCGACAAATTAATGATAAATCACAGACCCAGAATCCTCTTTGCATTAAAATTTGGGATTTCTTTGTACTATAAGATTTGAGCACTGCCACCTAATGGCAGGAACATGAAAATAATATTCACACAAAAAGTACTCTTCAGCAAATATTGGCTAAGACCCTGGGTAAGAACACTAGGGGAGATACAAACATTATTAATATACAGGTTCTACTGACATAAATGACTTATGTAATTAAGTAATAAATAAAATGAAAATGATTTGTGTTATAGGGAGTCAGAGATAAAAAAGATTACTCTTAAGAGATGAAGAAAGTGCAGGAAAGAGGAATGAAAGGGGAGGATGTTTGATCTGGGGCCTTAAAGAATAGATATGATTCACACATGTTGTATAATGATGTTAGATGAACTGACCAGAGAAGGCAAATTTATAGAAAGCTGGTCCATGATTGCCTGGGGCTAGGAGTAGGAGCAAAGATTAACTGCAAATAGGCTCAAGAAAACTTTTGAAGTGATGGTAAAGACTAGATGAGTGATAGTGGCACAACTTTATAAATGCTAAATATCATTGCATACAATATGTGAATTTTATGTAAATTATACCTCAAAGAGCTATGCTACTGGATTGCATATCACAGTTAACTCTTTGGGTCCCCTTTTTTATACTCTGTTTTACTTTTATTTTATTTTATTTTTTAAAATATATTTTTATTGATTTCAGAGAGGAAAGGAGAGAGAGAGAGAGAGAGAGAGAGAGAGATAGAAACATCAGTGATGAGAGAATCATTGACTGGTTGCCTCCTGCATGCCCCGACTGGGGATGGAACCCACACCCCAGGCATGTGCCCTTGACTAAAATCCTCAGGCAACAAAAACGTCACCAATCTTGATTAACAATCAGAATTTTGTTCTGTAAGATAAGATCCAGGGAGGTAATTCTATAGTGCAAGTTAGGGTTAGTGAGGTCTGTCAAACAGGAAATATTTCCTTATATCAAAATAGAAACCATCATTTTCTAAAAAAAAAAAAAAGTCTCTGGTATTCCACTATATAGTTTCCACCAATCTCCCTTTAGACCAGCGGTTCTCAATCTGTGAGTCCTGACTCCTTTGGGGGTCAAACGACCCTTTCACAGGAGTTGCCTAAGACCTTCAGAAAACACATATATAATTACATATTGTTTTGTGATTAATCACTATGCTTTAATTATGTTCAAGTTGTAACAATGAAAATACATCCTGCAGACAGAACCTAG